CACCGTAGTCCTATATATACTACAGATGTTCCTCAACTTACGTTCACTAGTAGAATCAGAGTTTCCATTGCTAATCAAGGTTAAAGGGGAGTTGTAAACAATTTTGCAACGTTTATGCACAGTTGTTAAGTGAATGACGGTAATTAAGTGAATCCAGCTTTTTCCATTGACTGCTTGTCAGAAACCAGCTGGGAAGGCCACAAATGGCGATCACATGACCTCATGGTGCTGCAGCAGTCACAAATACATGCTGGTTGTCAAGTACCAAATTCTGATCACATGACCATGAAGATGCTAGGATGGTCATAAGCAAGGGTGAAATTCAGCAGGTTCTGACAGGTTCTGAAGAACCAGTAGTGGAAATTTTGAGTAATTTGGAGAACCGGCATATACCACCTCTGGCTGGTCCCAGAGTGGGGTGGGATTGGAGATTTTGCAGTATCCTTCCACCTAGCCATGCCCACAGGACCAATAGTAAAAACAAATGAATTTCACCACTGGTCATAAGTGCAAGGACTGGTCATAACTCGTGTTTTCCAGTATTGTTGTAACATTGAACGTTTGCTAAACAAATGTTTGAAAGTCAAAGACTAACTGTGTATATATATGTGTGTCTGTGTGTGTACACACACACACACACACACACACACACACACACGCTATTCATATCCTCAGCCATCCTTCCTTGTATTTGAAATTGTGCTTCAACACATTTGAGAGGCATCAGGCTTTTAAAAACAATCTACCCAATAAGTGATACATTTATTCTCAATTAAATATAAATGTTTCTACCTAATTATTTTTCTTTCTTTTATTTTTATGTTTCTTATCGGTAATCACTTGAAAACCTCCTGTTCTTATCTAGTATATTAAGACTGTTTGACTGGTCCTTTTTTCTGAGTGAGCTTAGAAAACAATCTATTTACGTTGCATTCTGGTAATTTTTTAAAAGAAGGAAAGAGAGAGGGGGTGCGGGAAAAATTGCCTTTTTGGTTTTGGAGTTTCTGCCATTGGTGATGACCTTACTTTCCCTAATATTTTTGGTATAATATTTTCCAAAGAATTTTGAAGCCCTTTTTCATCTAACAATTTTGTGAGGTACAGTAGATTAACATTTATGCAAAATCACTCAGTGAGGTTAATGTCTAAATGAAAGTTTTTATAGCCTGGATTTATTGATGAATTTTAGGTGATCATGGTTCAGTGTTTTGTCATGCTACATGAAGGAAATGCACCACAATTTCTCTCATAAACCTCTTTTGAATTTCTAATTGAAGAGCGGCTCCTTTCTATATTTTTTGGTGGATAAAATATTACATAAGTACACAGATGAGCATCACTTGTCTTCCTTCAAAAAAACGTACTCAGTTTGTACCCAACTAACATCAATTTAAAATTAATTATAGGCACCCCATCCTCATACACATTTGGATATGTAGAGGGAATAAAGTTCACTCTTCTTTTTCAGCTGTAGAGCTGGGAGGAAGCCTCAGGCTCACATCACTCATCAAAATCTGCTAAGTTCTCACTATGTTAAGGGCACTAAGCCACATTCTTGAACTCCATATACGGCAATGCTGTTGATTTGCATACCATACGAAGACTGGTATCATGACAAAATTATTATCTCTGAAGACTTGATTACATACCAACTAGGGGCAAAAAGAATCCAGGAGCTGGCTTTGGAAATCAGGGAGAGTTGTAAGCCGAATTTCTTAGCTGGTTTGATATTCAATATAGTAGATTACTTGGATTTTAGTAACTGAAAAAGAAAAACCATGGTGGTCTCTTCAATATGAAAATGTGGTCTATTCTTCAATAATCTCCCAATAATATGCTTTCCTCTTTCAAAAAATAAATGATTTAAATTTAAGTTTCTCAATTTTCAGACTGCTAGGCAGTTCTGTTTTAAAGTTGATCCTTGGAATGGATCAAATCAGAAAATATTTTTGTTGAAGAACAAACAGGCTTTACAGGTGGACGTTCAGTATTAGATCACTTTCTTATTTTGCAACGTCTACAATAAATGAAAATATACTTTTAAGTCCAATCCACACAATATGCAATTTTATCAATTTCAGAATCACTTTTGTACTTATTGCTACACATAGTGCAAACTTAAAAAATAAAGGATGCCTGAATTTTCTTGTATAACACTTTATGAGAACTCTAATTTAAAAATTAGGTGGATGATGTGCTATTATCTTAAATGCCAGTTGGTCTAAAGCAAACTTTATATACTTTAGTTGCATATTGCAATATAGACGCACGCAACATTAATTATGAAAACCTAAGATATTGGTATGTGCATATACAGAATATAATATAATAGTAATAAAAAATAACATAATATACATTTTATATAGTTACACACACATATATTTGCTAAGTGCCCTAAAATTCATGCTTACCCAATTTAAGAAGTTTAGACCTTCACATATATGGAATAATATTTCATGCATGGCACACTTGAAGTATGTTGTCTCTAGCAACAAAAATCAGCAATAACTCTGCAATCCTTGTATTACTCCAGCAATGCATTATTCACTCCTATTTTTAGGTAGTATGCAACACCACCGCTTTTGTTCTGAGCCCAGTTGGGACCATATAGGTCCTTCATTCCCTTTAGAGAGGATGAAAAATAAAACTTTAAATATATTACAGATCCTTTGATGGGTTTAAGTTCCCAACATGGACTTAAATCAAGAGGCTGTTGTGAGCAAAATTGAAGCTAATATTTGGCCATGTATCTTTTTTACTGGTTGAAATTACATTTTTTTTTCACATTTTACATCAAGGAATTGATGCCTCTGATTTTCGATTTTGACTTTAAGTTATTACTTGGTTTCATCTACGAAAGTGCACATGAAAGCGAAGTGCCGTGGTTTCTCCCTTAAAGCAATCTTGAGATATGGAGTGACAGTCTTTAAACAGTGTGCCAAGGAACTGACTCTCAAAGATGTTTTCCATTTTCAAGCCAACTAAATACTTAAGTCAAATATGGTTCCTAAAGTCAGAAGAGCTTTAACGTGACAAGAGTTATTGCTCTTCCAACAGTTGTTCTCCAGCGGAAAATTTGGAGTATCCTATTTGAACCAAAACTTTGTCCCTATGATGAAAGAGACCTTGACCTATTAACCCACATTTTATTATATTTATAATTATTATTGCTCTCATGGTAAAGATGCCTAGCTGAAGCTAATAATACCACATTCAAACAGACTTCCAATTCACCTAGCTCTATTTTATTTACAATTGTTATTATCTCATCACTGTAATTTTATTTCTTTTAACAAGGTTTTACTATTTATTAAGTTAGCACACTTCAACCAATTTCAATATAATTATTGGGTTTTACTGCATTTTTATTTCCCATCTCACAATTCTTTTCCTTCTGCTTTTGAGCTGGTCTTTAATTGTAATAAAGGACTTCTACTAACTTCTGCTCTTATCAATTTATATTATAGTTCCAAATGGGAAATAGGTTATTTGCCTCTGAAGTTACTCCTATATTAAACTCAAATAATATTAGAATAACACTATGGAAGTACAGAAAGCCAATTTCATGTATTCAGGAAGGCATCAGGCTAAAAATCATGAGACTGTGAGTTCTAGTCCTACCTTAGGCATAAAGCTGGCTGGATGACTATGGGCCAGTCAGCCTCTGTCAGCTCTAGGAAGGAGGCAATGGCAAACCACTTCTGAAAAACCTTGCCAAAAAAGTGCAGGGGCTTGTCCAGGGGGTCTCTGAAAATTGGACACAATTAAAAGGGGAAAAATATAGTTCAATTAATGGCTGCTTGTTATGTTAAAGAGAGTAAGCAAATTATTAGTAACTGCATACCCAAAATTATGTCATTCTGTAAGAATGGAATGGGCTTACCGTACTTCTTGATTCACACTAATTTTGGCAAGTACAACACAGCAAGCCAAAGTGTTCGGAAATGCACTGTATTCTTGGCTTTTATTTTTAACACAGAAATCTGACTCTGGGGAAAGCTACAGGTCCTAGCTATCAATCATTCTTTGATCCTGCTAAAGGCTCCTATGAATGACAGTTGCTGTCTTTTCTCATGCCTATTAAAGGTCTAAGCGTACAGTTGAACCCACATGTTTCAGATTCCTGCATATTGATGAAGCCTAGTTGATTTCTAATGACTTCCATTGACAAAATTACCGTATACAGCTTTGATTCTCAAGTGAGACTGATTCTTTTCCCCCCAAACTTTCGTGAAGTTATACCACTGTCTTTATTAAGATAACTTCTTTTTAGTAGAGGCAAATTCTTAGACAGCAATCTATATTGTATAATATTTCTGTATTATGTGTGACATAATGCATGTGGATTATGGATATAGGTTATAATGAAAGGTTTCTCATATTTCTATAAGTTAATTTTATTTATTAGATTTTCATTTATGGCACCATTTGATGGCATGTAGAGTTTTCGGCCACTGGCTGTAATCTTGCTGTAGACTAAGATATAATGGAGCAAGAAGGCAGGTGAACACTATGAAATAGAAGCAGATGTACACAAGGGTGGGCTTCAAAAATTTCAGCAATGGGTTCCCTGCCAGTTGTTGGGTGGGAGTGGCCTTGTTTGGCCTAGTTGGCCTCCTGCACCATGGCGGAGGGTGTGTTTTATCTTCCCCAGGCTCCAGAGGCTTTCCTCAAGCCAGGGGTGGGATTTGGAGGTTCTCCGAACTAGCCATAACATTAGCTACGGGTGAACCTGTAGCAACCCACCCCTGGATGTACATCAGGAATTCATGGATAAAATCTACTTGTATGTGTTCTTTATTCATCAGTACAATCAGAGTTGAAAATCCTTGCTATTTTATTGTGATCAATGGCTCAAAATATTTGCTATGCAGCTTGGATGTCAACCAGTATGATTATGTTTGGAACTAAGCTCTCCCTTTTTAATAATAGAGATCATCTTTAATCAATGCATCACGTACCATCAACCATATCTGGCATTGTTTTTTTCTGGCATTTAGATTGGAAGATTGATTATTGGGCAGAATGGCATTTTATCCACTCCTGCTGTGTCCTGCATTATCAGAAAGGTCAAAGCTGCTGGCGGGATTATTCTCACAGCTAGTCACTGTCCTGGAGGACCTGGAGGAGAATTTGGAGTAAAGTTTAACATTGCCAATGGAGGTAAGAGTTGTTGTGATGCAACTTATTACGAACTCTGATTTGTTTTTGTTTTTAGAAAAAACCTAAGGTCCGAAAAGAAATTTGCCTATTACATTGCCTATTGCCTCTTACTTTCCCCATCTATAATCATATAAAAAATTAAAAATAATGTCTGTCTATATCTGTCTAACCAGCCAACCAGCCAGCTATATATCTTAATACATCTTAGATTTAAATACAGAATATTTAAATATTGAAAAGGCTTGTAGACTTTTCCAACTATTAGTTTTTTGGGGGAACTGAAATCTTTGAATAGACATGTTTTCATCTCTTTTGGTTCCAGGCATAAGATCAGTGACAAGAAGTCTGTCTGATGTAGTAGCCACAGACACCTCTGCTGACATCGCCACATCATCCTGTCCAATTAGATTTCTGAAATATTATTTAGAATATCTAAAATATTATTTTAATTATAAATAAATAGGAATCTGATTTATTACTGCAGCCCCATTTGGAAATGTACCCATCTTCTCTTCTTAAGGTTAATAGAAGATAACTGGCAGAATGCATCCTGTATGGGGAAAAAACAGAGTGACAAGGAATATTCTCACCATTTTTTCCTATGGTAAACTAAATATGCTACTCTCCACATAGAACAGTGTAGCGATTTTGTGAGAACATTGCAAGCTCTCAAAATTCTAATATCCCATTGGTTACAAAATTTTATACATATTGCCAACTTAGACTTATACATCATTTCACAGTACTTTAGAGACCTTTCTAAGCAGTTTACAAAGTTACCCCCAACAATCTGGGTCCAATAAATAAAAATAAATAATTGAACTAGATTTAAAAAAAATTCCTACTAATTAATATTTGCTGAGACATTAAACCCAAGAAGTTTAATTTGATTTTTCAGAAGATCCAACATCAGACATGCAGCTCAGTTTTAATCTGAAGATTTCAGAGACCATAAAAAGCTCTAATAAAAATGCATGCACTACTAAAATACTATGTTAATTTAAACTATTGTGTATCTTGTAATAATATATAAAATGTATTTCGTATTTAAGAGCATTTAATCTCTGTTTTGTGGTTGATATTCAAGAATTGATACAGCTTATGTTTGTCTTATATTTTCAGGTCCAGCTCCAGATGTTGTTTCTGATAAAATTTATCAGATCAGCAAAACCCTTGAAGAATATGCCATTTGCCCTGATTTGAGAATTGATTTGTCTCGGTTGGGAAGACAGGAGTTTGATCTGGAGAATAAATTCAAGCCTTTCCGGGGTATTGAATTCTTTTCCATAGTGTGAAAAGTTAGTCCTTTAAAAAGTTATTGGCATGGTAGTATTTTAGAACGGAAATAGGAAATCCACAATGGGAATGTGTCTGTTTCCCTTGTTACCCAACTGTTTAAGTTTCACATAAATTTTAGTACTATAAAGGGAATACTATATTGATAATAATCTTATTCTGGCTGTGACTGAAATTCAAACCAATATCTAATTTTCTGTTACCCTGATTCTTGTTAGCTTAGCATTCCCATTCTAGATATTTTTCTTCAGGCATTTTACTTCTAAACTTAAAGCACAAGTTGAAATTTCAGTTTCTCATTCTACAGCCTTTGTTTTACATTACTAAATTGATTATGGATTTTTGTGGTCATTGTGTTACTAAGCCACATAGTCATTTTATAGAGTTTTTTTTAATACATGGTTTTATTCTAGACTTTTTGATAACTTGTTGATATTCTGTTTTATTCCATTGCATGCCCACAATTCTGGAAGCAATACAGTGAGTTTTAGAACTTATAACTTTATCTTTGCTTCTGCCTTTATTGGTCTGACATGATTAGTACTGCCCTGAGCCCCTGTCTGAGGAAGATAGGCAGTTAAGAAATAAGAAATATAAATAAATAAAGTAAGCATGTCCTAAGTTATTCTCTTGCTTATTCATAGAATATCCAAAAAGCTAACAGTAGTAGAATATTCATAGTTGACAGGATCAGGTAGAAATTATTGCTGAGCAAAAACATTCAGTGGACATTTTGTGAAGTAGAAAAAAGGTAACCGTCTGAGGTATAGTAAAGCATTGAGGACAGAGATGATATTCAGCCGGCTCTCTCCAGTTCATTCGAATCGGTAGCTGTGGCTGTGGGAGGCTCCGCCCACACACCCCGATGTAATACACGAGCACTGCGCATGCGCAGAAAGTGCTGTGCATGCACAGATGCAGCACGTGCGAGCAAAGCAAGCGTGCACATGTGCTCACATTTACGAAGCAGTAGGGAAGGTAAGTGAATCCCACTGCTGATTGAGGGACTGTATTCTTGAAAGTGAAACACTCCAAGGACCTTTCTAGGTTGCCTGAATATGCATGTACGTGTACATGAACAGAATACACTTCTGCCAATTCTGCTGCTGAAGTTTTAAGCAACTTTGCCCTTACAGGGTTCAGGCAACCCTGACAAGAATTCTACTATGGACTTTGAATTGCCAAATTGAGAGGCGATCTTTGATAAAGGTGCTGGGTTAATTCCCAAAGCATTTATGGCGAAGATTTTCACTTAACTCAGTGATAAAAGTTTTTGTAGTAATAATTTTCATTTGGTGTGTACTTATAACTAAGCACGCTCTCCTGACTTACATCCTTTGTTTCATCTTTTGTGCACAGTTGAGATAGTGGACTCTGTGGAGGTTTACCTTAATCTTCTGAGGACCATCTTTGATTTCAGTTCTATTAGAGGCTTGCTAACAGGGCCAAATCAACTTAAGATCAGAATTGATGCCATGAATGGAGGTAAAGAGTATCATTTTTAATGCAGTATGTAAACTATTGATTTTTTAAAATGCTGAAAATAAGATTTAAAACTCATACAATAATTATTATTGCTTTATACCAGGCTATCATTCTAAATACATTTGCTAGCGAGTCATCCTTAATGAATGCAGAGAAATGCACATGATTTTGCTGTTAAGTAAAAATATTCAAAATGTCTGTCATGTTCTTAAGGGAGTTATGTATAAGGTGAGAGTGGGACAGAGTCAGAGAGATGCCTTAAATTTCCTACTGACTTAATTTTGGAGATGGGAGTGAAAGGGGAAAAATCCCTTTCTTCAGCTGAAAACCAAAATATTACCGTATTTTTTGAAGTATAAGACACATCCTTTTCCCTCAAAAAAGAGGCTGAAAATCTGGGTGCGTCTTATACACTGAATACAGCATTTTTTGCCTCCTGAAACCCCGCCCCCTTTACCAAATTGGCCGTGCATAGCTTGTAGGAGGCTTTCAGAGAGCTCCTGGGGGTTGGGGAGGGCAGAAATGAGCAAAGAACAGTCTTTTTTTTGCTCAATTACCCCACTGCCCCCAGGAGTACTCTATAAGCTTCCCAGTGCCCTTTTTTTGACAAAAAACAGGGCCATTTTCATGGAAAAACAGGCTGGTTTTTTGCTTGTCCCCCCCCCACCAGCCTTCTAAGGGTATTCATACCCTTTTTTTGAAAAAAAACAACCTGGTCCATTTTCACAAAAAAGGGCTGTTTTGGGGAGGTTTGCAGAGTGGATTTTTTTTTTAATTTGCCTCTTTAAAACCTTGGTGCGTCTTATACTCAGGTGGGTCTTATACTTCAAAAATATGGTAATTGGTTCTGGGAAAAAGCAGTTCTTGAATGTACAGGACACTTTTTGTTTCAATTAACTTCAGGTAAAGTATTTATAGCATTGTCCTTTTTGAATTGAAAGGACATCAAATATATATATATACACATGTGTGTGTGTGTGTTTGTGTATGTATGTATGTATGTATGTATGTATTTTGTGTCACCTACACCCTACACCCATGAAATCTACGAAAACATACATACATACATACATGCATATGCATATACACATATACACACACACACACACACACACAGAGATATATATATATATATATATATATATATATAGATATATATAGATATATATATATATAGATATATATATATATATAGATATATGGATTATATGTTGAAGAATTTGTAGAAACCAAGTTCTTCAAATGTGGCAAAAATAACTGGGACAAAGGTGACAGATTAAAAAAATACATGATTATATTTTTGTAAGTGTATATATTTTTGCCCACAAACGGGTTTCTTCAGTTTATTAAAACCTTCAATAATAGTTTTAAAATAATTAATTACTATCATCTTTAGAAAAGTTAAATATGGCAAGAGTGTTTATACCACAAATAAATTGTTGAAATGCATCTTTCTATGACATTCCTATACGCAAAGTGATATCGCATTTCACCCACTGCCTGTTTTCCATTTGTATTTTTTTAAAAATGCTATTCAATTTTTCTTCTCCCACAAACCGCAGATACTATAATTGACTTTAGATATATGACCTCATACCAGCTATTTCCCTCAACATTGGCTAAGGAGATATTTTCAAAGAGCCACAAAATTCTTTGCAGAAGTGAAGAAAATCTGTCTCTTCCTTTAATTATGTCTGATGTTGATGTTTAAGTAGAACAACATTCTTTTTTAAAAATCAGTTTCCTTTCATTTCCTGAGGCCATTCTTTCTACTGCTCATATATAAAACTCTTTCAGTGTCCAAAATGTCTACTCGTAGAATATTTGACTTGCATTTGGTATTATACAGCTATTTCTTAAGCACTCTCATGGGTTCCCCCCCCCCAATAAAGTTTGTTATTTATTAATATATACCAGGTAATATATGTTGCTGCCCTGTGTTCTCACGCCTTTTATAAAATAGCTGGACTTTCACTTGGGAATTTCCAGAATACAAATTAATCCAGAATCAAACTGCTTTTAAATTAATCACCACACTAATATGTTTGGTTTTGATACCAGCTTTTTATTGTACAAATGACATAAGCAGCTGAACTGCCAATTTAGATATTCTACAGGTAGTCCTCAACTTATACAACCGAGTCCAAAATTTGTTGCTAAGCAAGGCAATTGTTAAGTGACTTTTGCCCCATTTTACAACTTTTTTTGCCAGGATTGTTAAGCAGTTGTACAAAGAATCTTGATGTCGTTAAATGAAACTGGCTTTCTCCATTGACTTTGCTTGGAGGAACCCAGCTGAAAAAGTTACAAGTGAGGATCACATGAATTCCAGGACAGTGTAACTGTCATAAATAAATACTTGCCAAGTGCCTAAATTTTGATCATGTGCGACAGTTGTAATTGTGAAAACTGGTCCTAAGTCACTTTTTTCAGTACCATTGTAATTGTGAACAGTCACTAAATGAACGATTGTAAGGTGACGGCTACTTCTATAGCAGCATAAAGAACAAAATAAGTGTAATAAATCACTGAAACATCATACATTTGTTTCACTTTCCCAAAGTGCCCTAAAACTGAACCAGACATTCAGTGAAATTTCTGCATTCCTTCTGCAGTAGTTGTAGAACAAAAAAAAAGAGGTGCTTATTCCATGTGCTTAATGCTGAACCTCTTCTATTTTTATTGATTTATTGATTATAGTTTGGATTTACTATTGTTTTTACTGTCATTTGTTTCCTAAATTATTTGGTAATAAACAGATCTTTCATAGCCTTCATCTTTTTAAAGGAGATTACCTTGGTCACTGCATATAAATACAGAGGCAATTTTTGTAGAGAATTGCATGTTACCTTGTTTAACAGAGAGTGATGTAATACCCTGTTTAATGTCTACGGAGATTCTCAGTCATCCAGGTTATAGTTGTCCCAAAAGTGCTTTTTCCAAGAGGCAACTGGACTTTCTGGTTTCTTGCATGAGAAGCGAAATATCTTCAAAAAAAACAAACACCCCAACCCCAAGAAAGTCCAGTTGCCTCTAGAAAAAGCACCTTTGGGCCCCCCCTTATTGCAAATCGATTCCATTTTTTTAAATGCATGAAGGTGTTCATTCTGAATATTTATTTGAAAATGGTCTTTAAATTGGAGGCAAATCCCTTTTGCAGTGATGGGTCCCTATGTCCGGAGAATCCTGTGTGAGGAATTGGGAGCTCCTGCTAATTCTGCAGTTGATTGTGTCCCTCTGGAAGATTTTGGTGGCCAGTACCCTGATCCAAACTTAACATATGCCACTTCCTTGTTGGAAGCAATGAAAGGAGGAGAGTATGGATTTGGAGCTGCATTTGATGCTGATGGGGTAGGTTTGGGGAAACTAACTTCATAGCTGAAAGTGACCTAACAACAAAGTGAATTAACAACAAAAAGATTTCTAACTTTCACATAGCTATTAGGCTTTCATTTAAGCACAGAAGAAATTAACAATTTAGTTGACAGTTATGCACTTCCCTCATTACTATGAACAATTCAGTAGCTCAACGTTGTTCAGTGCTAAAATATTTAAAGTTCCAAAATATATCGTTTAGTTTCTTACATGGGATCAATTGTAGATTTTTCAAGTTCATAACATGTATTGGAATGTACATTTCAAGTTCATAATGTATCTCATGGATTTTCCAGACAAATACATGTATCTTTTTGATAGTATTAGAAATGCTTGGCAGTTATAATTGGAAAACTGATTGAAGTGTCAGGTAAATAAATTGTGTATACAGCTGAACCTAGCCATGGGACCTCCATCCCACCTCACTTCTGTTTTTTTTTTTTCATTTTGCATTATTCATAGTTACTACCAAAATAATCTCCAGTTCTTGGTAAAACAATGAAAGGTTTTTTTCCTGATTTAATCAGTAGGCAACAGATGAAGAACCCAGTGTAAATGATACTTTGGAGTCACATTTTTAACTCCTTTGTTTAGGACATGAAGCACTTTCTACCAAGTATTGTATGACCATTTTAGGAAATGTAATGCTGGACTTGATATTTCCAGTTAAATTCAATTCTTTATCTCATTCTAACTTTTAGTTGTCTATCCTTCATTTGCTGAAAAGATTGTTGGAGAACAATTCCTGTCTAATAATGAAAGATTTATAGAGCATAATTATTGGAAATCTTCACAGTTCAATTAAAGAAAACAGTTGATAACATTATGCTTTGTTATAAGATACAAATAAGAATTAAAAGTTCAAAATTGATTTTGCAGTTCCCAATGAAGGAGGACTGATAAAAGATATCTCCTTCCTCCTTCTGTCCTCCCTCCTCCTATTTTTTCTTCCTTCCTTCCTTTTTAATAAAGCTTAATGTAAGGGGGAAATGTTACTATTCTTTAAGAGAGTGTGTTTCCAGGAAAAAAGAATATGAAACTTTGGAATCACAAGCTATTATATTTTTTTTTCATAATTTATTCAACTAAATTAAACTGCTCCATGGGGTTTAGATCAAGCCATGTAGCTGAGTACTACCATATGAAACAGACTAAAGCCAAATAGCAATTTTGGGTCTCCCTCTTGCTAGAGTGCAAATTGAAAAAAGGGACAATCCAGCTCTTTTTGCACAAGCACTTCAGATGTTCTTCTTTACTGATTCATTTCCCCTTTCCCTACTCAATATATTTTATTTTCTCTTTCAGGATCGTTACATGATTCTGGGTCAAAATGGATTTTTTGTTAACCCTTCTGATTCCCTGGCCATTATTGCAGCAAATCTCCATTGCATTCCATATTTTCATCAAATGGCTGTGAGAGGGTTTGGTAGGAGTATGCCTACCAGCACTGCCTTGGACAGGTAGGAGACAAATTTCACTGGTATCATTATATCTTGACCTGCATAAGGAATTTACTGCTGTATTCAACTCCCAATTCCTTGGTTGCAGTTCAGAAATTCTGCAACTAAATTTCATCAGCAAACCACCAAGAAATGGTTTTTCTCCTGTTTTATTTTCCGCTAGTTTAGGGCACTCATAAAATAGTTGTCTAAACGCAACCAAAATATAGCAAAATATTTTTTTTCCAATCTATGGTATGTCTCAAAATAGCCCCATTCATTTAGGGTGGGATGTTACTGGCTTGCTAGATGTTTTTATTTTTTCAGATATGTATCTCTGAAATTCAGCTTCAGCTTCTCACACTATTAAGTTTTCTGATCAGGACTGCTAGGTGTTATATTTCATCATGATATGTGGAGGACCACAAATTGACCATTTCTGAGTTAAGTATAGAGTTAATTACAGAGACACTGACCTCATGAACCAGAATAATCTCTATTAAACCCTTGTGTATTTCAGAAAATATTTTCCAGAGGAGCTATATAATTCAAAGCTATTGTTGTTGTGTAGTGCATGTGTGTGCACTTCCACATAATAGAAAGTAGAAGCTATGAGCAAAACATCTTTGTTTCAGGAAAATTGCTACCAAATTACAAATCTTTGTTTAAATGCTTGAATTTTCTAGCTGTTTTCCCCCATCACTCACTCTTCCTGATTTGAAGAGAATGATGTTTCAAATACTGATTACTGCTTTTGATACTTTAATTTAAAAAAAATATTAATACCAGTAATTAATATAAATGAAATAAAATTGAATTTAGTGTGTGACTTTGAATTGTTGACTACAGATAGCCCTCGACCTACAACCACATTTGAGCCCAAATTTTCTGTTATTAAGCAAGACATTTGTTAACTGAGTTTTGCCCCACTTTACGACCATTCTTGTCACAGTTGTTCAGTGAATCACTGTAGTTGTTAAGTTAGTAATACTGTTTTTAAGTGAAATTGGCTTCCCCATTGACTTTGCTTGTCCAAAGGTCACAGAAGGGGATCCCATGACCCTGGGACACTGCAACCGTCATAAATGTGAGTTAGTTGCCAAATATCTTAATTTTAATCATGTGGTCATGGGGATGTTGCAATAGTCATGTGAAAAATGGTCGTAGGTCACTTTTTCACTTTGTAACTTTGAACGTTCACTAAATGAACTGCTGTAAATTGAGGACTACCTGTACCTTTTTGGAATGCAGTCCTTGACAGATCATTCAAAGGCCAAGCATAGCTCTCAGCTGGAAAAATATTGTCACTTCTGGCCAAGCATGTAGTGTGAGCCAGTATAAGCTTTCACTATTTGCTTAACCTATTACATTAAACCAACCAATTTTAACTAGTAGGCAACAATAGCAATAGCACTTAGACATATACTGCTTCATAGTGCTTTGCAGCCCTCTCTAAGTGCTTTACAGGGTCAGCATATTGCCTACAACAACCTGGGTCCTCATTTTACTGACCTTGGAAGGATAGAAGGCTGAAACAACTTTGAGCCAGTCAGGATCGAAATCCTGGGAACGAGCAGTAAGTTAGCCCTGCAATATACACTATATTGCCAAAAGTATTCGCTCACAACTGAGTCTGATTATGTGGATGGGTGAACGGATACTTTTGGCAATATAATGTAGGTAGTCCTCAACTTACGATCACAATTGAGCCCAAAATTTATGTTGCTCAGCGAGACATTTGTTAAATGAGTCTTGCCCCATTTAATGAACTTTTTTGCCACAGTTGTTCACTGAACTCCTGCAGTTCTTAAGTTAATAACATGGTTGTTAAAGGAATCTGGTTCCCCCACTGGCTTTGCTAGTCAGAAAGTCACAAAAGGTGTTCACATTACCCTGGGACACTGTAACCTTCATAAATATGAGTCAGTTGCCAAGCATTTTAATTTTGATCACATGACCATGGGGATGCTGCAACATGTGAAAAATGTTCATGTCACTTTTTTCAGTGCCTTTGTAACTTTGAACGGTCATTAAATGAACTGTTGTAAGTCAAGGACTATCTGTACTGCATTCTAACCACTGCTCCACCAGGGCTCTTGTAAGCAAAGCATAGTTAAACCAAATCATAACTACATGATGTGTGAACTCAAGTCTAAATAGACACAAACATCTGATCTGCTGATAAACATGAGTGTTTAAAGAATCCTCTTTGTTATATACAGGTGGTACTTGACATGACCAAATCAGAACCCCATTTTATGACTCTTTTTTGCCCTGATTGTAAAATGAATCACTGCGGTTGTTATGTGAATCATGCTGTCATTAAATGGATCTAACTTCCCCACTGACTTTGCTTGTCGGAAGACATTTAGGAAGGTTACAAATGGTAAAAATAAAAAAGGGGAATATAAAACACAGGCATTCGCGGACGATATGGTATTTATATTAGAGGAACCATTAAAATCAGAAATTAAATTAATCCAAAAAATAGAGGAATTCGGTAGGAATTCGGTAGCAGGACTTAAAATTAACAAGAACAAAACAAAGGTCATTACGAAGAATTTCACCAAAAAAACAAGAGCAAGAATTAGAGGAAAACATGGGAATGCAGATAGTAAAAAAGGTAAAATATTTAGGAATTTGGCTGACAGGGAAATGCTCAACAATTAAGGAAGACAATTATGATATAATGATTGAGAAATTATGAA